GAAGAAACTTACTATATAAAGTCCTAAGCAGTAAAAATCACTCTAAACTCTCTCTTCTATCTTCAACAATTTTTGTTTAAGATCAATTTAGTAATTCAAGTGGAGCCAGAAGGGAGAGAAAAAAGGAGCATAGCAAAACCCAGCATGTGTGAAAATCTACAAGCATTAGATAGCTAAACAAACCCTAAGTCCCTCAGTGTTGCAGTAAGGTCAAAACCTTTCAGCACTGTACCAGTGTGTCAAAATATGTCAACAAACCATCATACTGCAAGAAGAAGAATGACCTTTCAGTTCTTTACGTTTGGGCTGCTTTGGATACTGGGTATGCATGAACAGTTTTCCTAGCCACTTGACAAATGTAACTCTCAAGGTTTCTTCCAAGTCATTACAATGGTTTTCAACTCACCAAAACAATTTTTTAAACCATCTGCAACTGAGGAATACTGAACTTGGTTAATAGAACAGACATCCATAAACCTACAACAGATCTCCCTCTTCCCCTATCACCTACAGTCAGACAACAATTATTACTTCAACAGTCTTCACAGTAACCTGTTAAACCAATTTAAAGAGATGAACAGCAAAAAAATGCCTGTAATTCTAATATCCTGATTCAGACTTTGCTCATGTCAAAATCATCCTTACTGTCAACTGCAAATGGATTTGAATGCAACACTTTTCTCAAAAAAACCTAGGAACACATTATCAGTTTTTGTTGTGAAATATAATCCTTTCTGTTTGCACTTATCTGAATGAAATACTCTTTTATTAATTGATGGGGCTATATGATAATTTAAAAATTTTACTATGACTTACAGTTATGAATTGAAGTCTCAAGATCAAGCATAATGTACCAATTAACAACGCACTGATTCATGAATTTAGGCTTCCAAAAAGTGTGATTAGTATTTTAGAATTACTTATGGGAAACTTGCTTTTATTTATTTTTTCAAAAAAGCAGAGGCACAGGACTAAACATTTAGAACACAAACAAATGGTGGAAGGAATTTAGTACAGAAATGACTTACCATTTTTATTCAAAGAGAAGATGAAATGCTTCTTTTTCACTATGTGGAATTGCCTTTAGTTTAATAACAGTGTCAAATATGACATTTTCCTACAGTTTTCCTCACATGTAGTAAAGTCTCTTTAGCTAATAATGACGTCAAGCTATCTCCCGGGACTCTCTAGAAATTACATTCTAGACTGTACATATGCCTTAGCCACGCTTGAAGAAGACAGAAAAATGTAAATTGCTGTATTTGAGTTTATATCTTACAGCAAGTCACTGATAGTGCACTCACTAATTACTGTTTGAACCATGTGTTGCTGATCTGTATATCCTTAGAAAACACTAGTCATGCTGACTAACAGACTTTTACAGCTAGGACTCCAATTTTTAATTTCAGTTTAAAAAAAAATTATAAAATCATACATTATGGAGGAAAGAAAAAGCAACAGCAACTTTCATCTGAACCGTAAAATAATTTACAACTTGCTCATAGGCCCCATTTTAAAGTATGACCTGCGTAACTTGCTGCTCATGCTTTCCAAATTACTTTTGGTCACACTAACTATTCAATAGCTTTTACTCTCATAGTTACAGCAAATGCACTAATGTAGACCAGTGAAAAATGAAAAGTGTGGTATCTACTACTTGTGCACAAAGAAATTATATTTTGTGCATGGAGTTTTTTTGTTTACTCAGTGGCAGCATAAGCTACAGCCTGCTCAGTGGATGCCACCGCTCTGGAGGAACAAACATACTGAGGGAAGTATATGAATCACTTTATAAGTTTTTCCAGGATATAAACTAGCTATTTTTCCTAAAACATAACTCTGCAAAATCAGTCTGGGAATATGGAAGACCAAATTTGCCTTTTCCTATTTATTTATTATTGAAAAATCTCAATATCTAAAAAAAAATATTAAATTATAACTGTGCAAATCCACTGACAAGGTACACTTTGTACATTTTTAATGTGAAGCTTAATTTGAAGATGAGGTTGTAGTGCACCACTGCAATTGAAAATTGCTTAACAATACCATTGATGTATGAGCCATAAAAAACCTCGCTAAGCTGTCCCTGCAGAACTCAGAGTAATAAAAAGGTGTTCTTCTGCACTGAGGTGAACAGACATGGTTGACTGCATCTAGGGAGCTGTTCTGTTAAATGAGAAAGTGCCATTTCTTTCCTGTCAGTACAGACCAATTTAAGACACTCACAGATTTAGTTAGCACGAAGTACAGGATTTAATGAAATACACACATAACAGCAAACAATGTTCAAAGCTTTCAGTCAGATTCTGAATAGAATTCATCTTACATTTGTGACATGTGAGAAAAGAACACAGAAACTTTTCTAGTTTGACTCCCAATTTTTAGACGAGCAATAAAAAAGCTGGATGGAAAAGGTCTAAAACCTCTCACTTTCATTCCTTTCAAAGTATCTAGATTTGTGTTTCTATCCACATCTAACAGGTGATACAGATTTTCTGTTGAACTTCATTTCTGCTTTAAGGTCAATCAACGGGTCAGGTTTAAAAAACTGAACTATTACTTGAGTGTCAAATCATCTCTATTGTGAACTTATGCATCAAACACACGAACACATGCTTCACGTTCTCCAAATAATTTCTCTTTCAAGAGGAAGGGAGACACAACAGTGTGGTGAGTTAACTGAGAATCTGGTTTTCTGAGAGACCTCTGCATAGACTGATTAAATAATACAAAGTTGGTTCACTGTTGTGCAGCTACACCTGTGTCCTTTCATATAAATAGTTCCAGAGACCAATGGAAGTTAACTGTCGAACCTACATGCAATCTAATCTATCAACGTGTTCATTAACCCAACTGTCATTATATTAGAAACTACAGTAATTCAGAACTCGTTTCAGAAGACGTGGCTCTGTAAGCTTGGCCAAGCAACACCAAAATTAAAACTAAAATGATTTATTCTTAAAAAAAACCCCACAGAAATCTGCCTAATTTCCACAATTAACCTAAATTTTGGATTTAGCGTGTACCAAATCTTACTATGGAGAGTTCTAGTTTCCTTTATATTTAGGAATCAAGCATTTTTGTAGTTGTTTCCAATACAAACAGCTATAACAGCAGATTTTGAAAAAATCTCAAAACTGCTTCCAAAATGTTTTATTGATCCAAATATCATTCCAGTCTAGCTTTTGCAACATTAAAGATACTTGACTAACAGCTCAGTAAGAGACGTTATTCCATTTTTGAAGCTGAATTATTAACCGGTACATGTTAAAATTAAAACAAAGTTAACAACTACTTGGTTTCTTGATAAAAGCATAATAGAAGTTTCCTTTGGAAACATCAGATGCAAATGGTACACATTATTCTCAAATGTTTTACACTAAAACGTGGACAGACAACTCAGAGAATTAAAAATAAAAGAAATTGCAACGGCAATTTTATTACAAACAACAACTGGATCACCGCCTTCATTCTACCTGTCAATGCAAGTTTCACCACATCTCAACCTACTATCTTTACACTCAAGTTATCTGTTTAAAATACACTTCTTGGAGGTACTCTTCTCTGATATCCTAATAGATACCTTCAAACACATCCTTTACACTCAGAAAGTATTCCAGCATGTATAATGGTCTTCTCCCAGCCTCAGCTGCTCCATTTCCTTTACACTGATGTGCAGTTCAGCACTGTTTGCATCACAATCTTTCCTGCCATTCTCACCATTTGCCTAGATATTGTATATATTCAAATTTCCTTCTAAGTTTTATATTCAGTGTTTCACAGTTTATTTTCTACAACTCTTCTAGAGTATAATACATTCATCCAACAATTGACAGCCTTCCAAGTTTCCCATTACCTTGATTCAAGTTTTCCAATTGTCTGCTTTCTGGGATTGTCAAATAAGAGCAGGTCCTTTTTGTATCAATCAAGAATGTTGCTGCAGAGCATAATTCCACTCTTTGATGATGTTATTATCAAGATTTTGTTTCCCTTCCTCTGCTGCTTTCTATTGAACCTGCTCGTAAGGTATTTCCAAAGGTAATGCTAGTTATTTTCACATTCGGCTGAAATACTAACCATCACCAGACTAGACTGTGATATTGACACACACCCCCTTTCAGCTGCATGTTCACACACTTGTGCCATGTTCTCCACTATCCCTCTGATGGTCTCTTGGGGATGCTGAGAAGACTTCTAAATTTATGCTTTAAAAAAATCTGTTATTTAAACTTTAATTTGCCTCACTATTGTGCTTAAGGGTCTAATACATAGAAAAATGGTATTGAAGATGAAGCATTGTGTTTAGTATTTTTTTGGGAAAACAATCCTCCAGTGAGGAGGTGTCTAGTGCCATAGAAAGATTTATAAATATACACAATAATGACTTTCAGAACAATAAAACAGAAGCATTTTGATCATATTTTAAAGAAAGTATTTTTCCACCAATACCATCAACATGCCACAAAATTGTCTAGCACAATGTATTTCCCTCCTTATCCTGCAATTACTTACTATATTTTCAACTTGAAGACAAATAATTATTGCTTCAAATGTAAATAATATAAAAAAGAAATACTTTATTAAAAAAAACACTGTGAAACAGTACTGTCCTGCTTACACTGACAATGAGCAATAACATCCTTTATACACAAACTCCACTTGGTTAGACTATGAAGATTTTTTAACAAATTTGTCAGCTTGCACATATTCCAAAACATTACAGAAAAACCTTCTAAGTCAGGTACTAAAAAACTGACATATAACTGCTGCTCCAAAGTAACTTATTTTGTCATTTAGCATTGCTGTAAAATCACCATATATATTTGCTGCAAATTAAGATCTCCATTTTTCATAAATATTTCAGTACACCAACCTGAATGCTAATTAATGACATTCAAAATGCCAGATTAGTAACATGTAGAGCCAGTAGTGTTTTATCCAATAACTTTTTAAAAAAATTAAGTCCTATTTATCTATAAGGAAAAATAATAGAAATATACCTGTTCCAGTAGCTCCAAAACTGGTCCTGCAAGTAGGCTTGGTGGCTACTTTCATCACCAAATGAGGCTTTGCTTTCAATCCAGTGAATTATGTGTCCTTCCACAGCTAGGGTGACAGCAGAAAATAAACTGAACTCTGAAAATCACACTCAACAGCCTGTAAGACTGTGTTAGGGAACATTCTATTTACTCCACAATCTATCACATAATTCATGCTTGCAACTGAGTTACATCTTCCAAATATGCACATAGGGCATTAAAAAAACAAACAGAAAATACTTTTAACAGACAATCACATGAATTTCAGTTTAATTACACCCTGTTCCACATATCTGCATTTATTCTAATACAAACAGAATGAAAAGAAAGAGAGATTAGACTAAGAAGCACTTGTATTCTTCTTCTACCCTTACTTTGCTGGAAGGTACTTGTCAGGAAAAAATCAGAAACTTCTGCTGAATGATAAAAAAAGTTAGCTAAGCTGCTAAAGGCAGACACTTGTCACCAATCAAGAATAGAAGGTATAAGAAAGGGAAGGAAATTTATCCTGGACATGAATATACTTCCTTTCTTTTGTAAAACCAGTAATGCTTCATCAGAAAGAAGCGAGGAGCAAAAAGGTTTATGTGAAAAAAACGTGATTTTGAATTTCTGTTTCTTTCTATGTTTTGCTATTTGTTTTGCTTCGTGTCTTTTTCCTCATTTCCTGCAGGAGTAAACTACTAATATAAATAAAATAATCTCTTTTTTTTTGACAAAGGAATGTTCTCTATGAAGTTGACAATGCAATTTTGCACAAGAAATCATGAGCATCACTGTAAGAGACCATTCTTTCTCCAAAAACGTGTTGTCAAGATCTTTAAAAATTTTACCTTTATTTTGAGTTACCTACAATACCTACAACTGTGATGTCTTAGCCTAAATTTGACTTGGAATGAGGTTTTCAGAGAACACACAAACCCAGAGGCACTATACAGAAAGATTACAAGAGGCTATAACAGCAAATGATTGACCACGGACTGCAAAATTTCTCAGGAAATCCAAGAAAATAACTCATGAAGCCACCACACTAAGCTCTATGTGCCACCACTGCCCTGCTATCAGTAACCCAGTTAACTTGTGCTGGCCTGTATTACTATATCCTTCCCCACCCCCAACACCTTTAGACCCCAGGAGATATAACAGCTAAGGTATAATCAGCTCAGAAGCTATTTCTAAGGAACATTTGCCTTAGGTATGTACTGAGTCATGAAGAAAAGAATCCAAGGACTGCTATATCCTAGTTCAGATCAGACAACAGATAGAACATGATTTCCTATAAGTCTCAAGTGATTACAATAATTTGAAAGAAACAATGCAGTTTTTTTATTTGAATTTGATACAAATATATGCAGACAAATTAAGACTATTTTAACCTTCTTTCTAATAGGGTGATATTACAAAAACAATTATTTTGGGTGTTTCCTGATTAAAATTGAAAGAAAAAAACAAAGTTGCTTTTCTAGTTTCCTTTTGATCAGGCTCCTGAATAGGTGGGACATCATCTCATGTTTCTAATATAAAAGTGGGTACCTTAACACCAAGTATGTCCTGTGTTTATTATGGCCCACATTACTGGACAATCTTACTAATGTATGTAGCTTTCTGAAAAGCAAGTAAAGAGGTAGGCAGGCTCATTTCAGTGGTGTCCAGTAACAGGACCAGAGGCAATGGGTACAAACTTAAACAGATGAGTTTCCACCTGAACATCAGCAACTCCTTTTTCACTGTGAGGGTGCCTGAGCATAGGCACATGTTACCTAAAAAGGTTGTGGATTCTCCCTCCTTGCTGATATTCAAGAGCTGTCACGTGGCCTCAAGACTAGAAAAGGTACATGAACTTTACCGTGACCTTTATACTTTTGTTCCTTATTCTTTCCTGCTATTCAGGTTTTTAGAACACAGTAAAGAACTGCAGAATTGTATCTGGATGCAAAGTGACAGCAAAAGAATAACTGCACAATGACAAACCTTTATGCAATGACCTATAGGTGTAATTTAATACTCGTAAGACTACTTTGAACTGATTTGGTCTAGAAGTAAAAGACAATTATAACTACTTCAGAGTTTAGTTCAGAAGGACAGTGAGTAAAATATCCTAGAGGCATCAGGGATTTGGGGGTTTATATTATTGCGCTTTTTTTCCTTTTCTTTTTTTTTGATAATGAGATTAAAACATGCAAAGACTAAAGAAGAAACACTGGGTAACAGTATTTAGGATCAAATCTCTATGACTCAAACTAGAAGTTCTTAAAATTATTGGGTAACTCCTGAAGAGACTTATTTGCAGTATCCTAGAATATGCTTTGCTTAAGTAGCCAAAATGTTTTAGCATGAGCACTCCTACACAAAATAATAAAAATTCTTTTAAAAGACTTACCTACTGGCACTTCTAAAATAAAGTCTGGTGTTTTGTCATAACCCTTTGCACGAAGCTGATCTTCAGCTGTACATAGAAAATAAGAACTACTGTTTATAAAACTATTCCATTAAGTAGACAGCAGCATAATTAATTTTATTCTAAATAAGAGTGCAAGAATTACTAATGCAGTCATACATATCTTTCTTATGCATGCAATGCTGTGTCAGATTAAATGAACCTTTGTAGAAAACCTGAAGCATGGATATAAAAATGCTTCTTTGTCATCCCTGCATTTTTATGTCTTCATTATAAACATCATTAATTCAAGCTGTCATACAGTATTTTATAACCTCCAAATATTCAAAATAAAGAGGTATATTCACTGATTGAAAGAAGAGTCTCTCCACCTTCAGATGTGTTAAGATTAATCCCACCAACACCACAAATGTAGATATACTGTCACTGCTGCCTTAGTTTTATTTTTAATGTTAGCATAAAGTTGTTAAAAAAAAAGAGCAAGGAAATCCTTCTCTCCCAGAAATTTATTAAAGTAAAGAAGAGCCATAATTTTAGTTTCTCTTGCATTCTGGATTCTGTAGAATTTATCCAATTTCTGAACATAAAAAGATTTAGACATTCTGCTAACATTACATCTACAGCTTTATTGTTTACAAATATTAGAGCTGAATATTTCAAGAAATAAAGACAAAAATGCAAAAGACATAAGGGAAAAAAAAAGAAAGGAAAAAAGCTCATGCCATCCCTTAATATTTTTAAACTATTGTCCTTGATTTCTGATACCATTACATTGGTATTTCTGAAACACCATTTCTCCATTAGAATTTGGAGTGACCTGGTCATTCAATTCCAGGCATGGCTTTCTGTCTTCACCCAAGCTCAACTAATGGCACTACCTAGTAACAAGTAAGGCTGTGTAGGCCCTTAACACCTACTGGGCTGTTGACATTGTCATGCATCCCATTCGCCTTTCTACATCACCTTTGATTAAAATTAATGGTCCATTCTCACTGTTGGGTAGCTTATTTCCAATCCATTTATCAGGTTAGGACAGTAGTTTCATGGCTAATGTTCAGAACTCAGTTTTTGAATACTTTGTGCAAATCCTGAAAGGTCAGCAGTTTGAGTCCAAGTAACATTTTAATGACAAGAAAAACATACTAACTTAGAAATAAAAATATTGTAATATTGCCAAAATCAAATTCTCCTATTCTTTTTCATTGAAGAATATAAGTCTGAAGTGTTTTCTATAGTGAACTAATTCTGAAAGTGAGACAGAAGTTAACTTGGAAAGCTGAACATTCTTGTCAGTGTAAACTGCAATAGCTGTTTATTCTTTTTGAGTGGTACTATATATTTTTTTAGATTTTGAGAGCATTTCTTCACTATAAACAGACTACACTGTAAATAGAAGTCTTTGCAATGTGACAATTCATTATATCATATGGTAAGGTAATGAAAAACATTTCTAGAATTTGGAGACTTGGTTTTTGACTGTTTTTTGAAACTCAGATTGTTATGTATACAGAAAAATGATGTTAAGATCAAGAATGTTCTAACTTAACAGAACCTCTGAATGGAATGTTTTATGCCATAACATAAAAATGAATTAATGTTCTATGTAATCTTTTAATCCTTATTTTAAAAAAACAACACAACCACAAAACAATTTTATCCAAATCTAATTAACTGCAACTTGCTCTTCATTCTTTAAAATAATCGAGGCTAGACAGTCCCAGCTGAAATTTTGTTCATTTAAGGGCAACAGCAATGGAAAGGTCAGTCTTTTCTTTCACATCTAACAAATGCTACTACCACAAAATAAGTTAAAAAAGCCAAAACAGATGTAAACACATGTTTCAATAGGGTCAATGTGGCAGGTTTCTGAACTGGAAGCTGCATAAGCATTACTTTTAATATTCTTCAGCAGATTATTTTTTCAAGGGTGCCTGATTACTCTTAAAATCTTTTAATACTAATTCATGGCTTGAAAAATAACTTGCTTTTTGTTTTAAATCTGGTTATGAACATTTTCATGTGGTTTTTCCTAGCATTCTGTACTGTGATTAACGTTGGAAAACATATTAAAAACCATGTTTATTACTGATGTATCTATCATATGCAAAAACAGAACTCTGCATCACTATTTCTCCAAGTGTTTTGAAGCTTTATAACTCTGGGGAAGAAATAATTACCAAAACTCCTCATAATCACCATAAAATTTTTGTTTTAAACCACAACACCATCAAAAAGAAGTTCTAGCTTTTCAGCCCAGGTATGTTTCACATTGGTCCAGAAACTACAGAGGCAGCATTCTGTACCTCAAAAGATCTTAAACCCCAGCATGGATTAAGAAAATAATTCAGTAACTGCTTGAAAGTCAGTCCACAGCAGTTTTGACAGTTACATTTATAAATCCTCAGGTTTGAAAATTATGTGGAAACAGGCCTAATAAGTGGTTTGTCAACTGATACCCCATTAATTTAGATTTTCAACAAAACTGCAGCTTCATCTTTACCATAATGTCACACTCAATCAGAACCATTTAACACATCATTGTTCTTATACTAGCCCTCTTCTGCTGGTGCATGAATGAGCTACAACTGCAAATTTAAGATTACAGCAGAAAACACTGATCAGATTTCATGATTTATATCTACTGGTGGGAACCAAAGGAGGATAAAGCTCAGTACCTCCCCATATATCTAAAAGCTTTCCTAACATATTAATGGTAAAGAAAAAAAAATTCCTGGCATTTCAGTACAGCATGTGAAGCTGTGAGCCCGTTTTGATAAAATGCTTCTACTGATCACTTTAATCTCAGATTAAAGACTCGAGAGCTGTGTTTCTGCTGAAGAGAGGACACGGTATATGAAGCACTTCTCATGAACAGTGGATTAATAAAATGTAACCCCCATTAGTGTGCATAGGTTTCCAGTCAATTCCAGGGTGAGTCTGAAAGCGTTACTTCTATCTGTAGGCTTTGAAAGCCAACTGCTCCAGTAACAGATGAATTCTGTCCAGAACCTGACAAGCCGCTCCACGCTCTAAGACTATACTGAGGCACTTCACATTCACTGTGGTCTTTGACTGTAGTCTCCTCCCCTGTACTAGACTCTGCTGCCCAGGTGAACAAACCCTCTGACTATTCCTGAACAACAGCACATTGGAATAGTACACTAATATGGGAACTGCAAAATTTCTGTTTCTTCGAAATGTGTTTTAAAAAAAATGGTAAGCCATGTAAATAATAAGCATCTTCAAAACAGGAATGAAGTATTATGCAACAAAGTCTGAATTTGAGGACCTATGGCAATTACTGGCATCTCTTCTGTTTTTCTGGTGTTTTCTTCAAGCAGTTTTGGAACTAGTTTTTCAGAAAGGAAAGGCTGTATTGCAAGGGACTTGGTAGGGTTCATCTTGCAGATACTTAGGGAAAGCTTTTTTAAAAAATGCTCCAAACCCCAAACACATCTAGAATCTGAAATACATATGTGATCACAGACATGATAAATACAAATCTTAATATATGTTAAATCATGACTAAATAATACTTCACTATACATAAAATGTGAACAATAACTTAAGCTCTCATTTCTATCTTCACATTCTAACAAGTTAAGTCATTCTAGATGTTTTAATTTGACAGCACAAATTTCTTGGAGCTAATTTCTAAAGACAAAATTGATGCTTATCCAAAGTCATGAAACACTAAAATTTAAATGTGATTTTTATACTGCTTAAGTTTACACAAGCCAAATAAAGTTATAATCGTTGTGTTGAGGATCCCTTAGTGAGTCATCCAGTCCATTCCCTTGTATCACAACAGAATTGATTTCATTACTAGCTTTGATAGATGAGTTTCAAATCTAGCCTTGAATTTTTCATTGAAGGTGGTTCCACAACCTTTCCTGGAAGTTTGCTTCATAATTGTTGTTCCTAGAACTGTTTGGTATTTTAACTTGACATCATCTCTGGAATTACAGCTTAAGCCTATTATCTGTATCTATGCTCTTACAGTCAAATAGGAAAATCTGCCTCTTCTTGGTTTTGTAGTGTCATCTGCTAGCTTGTATGTAATAGTTAATACTGTCCTTTATTCCCTTTTCTCCGATATAAAAGAGCACACTAATTCTGTACCTTAATCATATGGACAAATCTCTTAAAAATCTTAATAACGCTTTCTAACTCCTTAAATTTGTTTAAAGTTTCCAAAATCTTAACCAGACATAGCTTCAGGAGAGATCATAGTTCCAGGTAAACCTAGAAAAATGTGTGAACCCTGTTCACACAAATTTAGTACAATGCTCAACCATTAACAGAAGAGGGCATTTCACTGTTGTCTCATCACATAAGGAATCAAAGATTTAAGAAGCCATTGTTTACTATCACATTTAAAGAATGCATACTTTAAACATTAATTTGTTTCAATGGCACTCATGGAAATAAGAAGCATACTGCAGACTGAATGAAAAAAATGAAAGTAACTTCCTAACTAATTAATCCTTAAAATAACTTTAAAAGTAGGGAGTGTAAAAAGAGTAATTGCATGGACTGGGGAGCAGGGGGCAAAAATTCAGCAGAAGCTGTACAGCAAGGTAAATGAGTGAATCTTCTAGCAGTTCTGTAATACATAAAGCATTCTGAAGCTAATATTTCATATGCTTCTTCCTAAATCTCATAAGGCCTGGATTATAGCTAATATCTCATGACACCAAAAGTAATACTGCAGCAGATATTAAAGCATTTTTTTCAGCTACTTATTCTATAAAATATTAATTGCAAGCCTGTGCATGTGCTCTATATATAGGGTATTAGGTAACTGAGTTCCTGCTCAGCTCTAAATCAATAAAAGATAACATATATAGCATCAATCACATTTTACTCTTCCTTTACTACCTAATATAGGGAGCATTTGGGCTGAATTCTGTCCTAGGTAAACAGTTACCAACATCTCTGAAGTTAAGAATTCACTGGTTAGCCTCTACTACAGATTCTTACCAATGAAAGAGAGATTTTTTTCCAAAAGCATTTCTCGCAGCAAGACTTCGTGCTCATGCCCAATAGCGCTGACAGCTTTAGGTTAAGAAATTAAAGATTACTTTGGAAAAGAAGCAACTTCATAAAAACATCATAGGTAAAGTAATTAACAGTAGAATTTATTTGACTTCATTGGTGTTTCAGAAGTGATCAGTGATTTTAACTCTAAGTTTTGGAAAACCTTATAGGGATTTTTAGAAGCATATACAACTTTGAAAAAATCAGATTATCGTACCAACAGCATACCTTCTACAGAATTAAGACTCATTTGACCATATTTATTCAGTATAATTAAGGGCAATATTGCCATTTTTTCTTTACTGTTTATTCTTCTAAATATAAAAGAAAGTGTAATCCTGAAAGATGCAAATAAATATCTTTAGAGTTGCTCTTTACTGACTAGTAATCAATTATCCAATCCAGCAAAGGATGAAACAAACTGGTTTTCTTTCTTTATATTCTGAAATTTATAGGTACTACATCCATATGAAACATCTTACTGTAAAAAAGCATCCTTTTAATTGATTTTTCAGAAGCATGAACTAATGTCAGAGAAGGATCAAATCATATTTTATAGTGAAGTCTTTTTCACTTCACTGACAGCCTGTTGATCCAGTGTGCTATTCCTTGCAATATGTAAAAAAGTCACCGTATTAAATATTTTTACTGTATCCTCCTGGAGGTCAAAGTTCTATTCAGGAAGCTTTTAAGAAGAATCCTATGGAACAATAGGATAAAATATCTTATGTTAAAAGCAGTCAAGCTCCAAATTCTGTTTAAAGTATCTCCTTAAACTACATATAACCTTAAAATTACAGTTAATTACTTATAGGAACACTTCATACTGAACAGCAAAAATAATTCTATGGAATCGTTTAGTATGTATATACAGCTTATATCAATCGAAACTATGCATTATGTTAAACTGTACTAGCAATTTCAGAATAAAAGGGACAAATGAAGAATGGCAAAAAGGTAAGAAAAATACTGCAAACAGAACTTACAATGCACCATAAGCAAAAACACTTAGTCTATAATAATACCTGTTATTGATGTATGGCAATGACCATGGGGCAAAACTTGTAAATAACCTCACAAGCTATTTTCTACTCATGCAATCTAGCAGCCTAGTTTCCCGTAAGCATCTGAACTATTACTGAAAAATAGCCTCTTGGCATTTACAAAGAGGTTGACTTCATACTTTGGTCCATGCATATACAATTAGATAGTTATATTTAAAATCAATATGCAATCCTTCAGAAGACAGTATGCTTTTAAAACCTTAACTTCAAATTGATTTTTAACTATTTTATGCACCTCAAAATTAACATCTAATTCAGCAACATACTTGCAGTAACGTACTCGTACAGCTTAGTATTAAACTTTTCTGTACCAAAATGGAATTGAAGAACCCCTCATTACTCTCAATGATGTCACTACATATTCATATTCAGATTTGAGCCAGAATCTGAAAAAGCTATGAAAGTCTTTTCTAGACTGCAGGCAAATAAGTCTTAAAAATGGTTCATAATTGTACATACGTGTCTTTATTACTTTTAAACATGTCACTCTCATAAGACTACAGCCAGACTGCTCATCCAAAAAACATTAACGTTAAAAATCTCGATATGAAACTAGACATGAAAACTAGTGATCAACAACCACTTAAAAATGTGTGGCTTACTAGATGAATCCACTTTCAGAGTGCTTTGTTTAATCATGAAGATAATCTCAATGAATATTTAAAATTACAATTAAAAGCACCAAATACTATTACAACTCTATTCTGCTGCTGTTGAAGTTAATGAGGGTAGGGTTGAGGCTGTAGTAGACACAAGTGTTTCTAGTGGAAAGAAAGTATTTTTAAGGAGTGACAATCACATGCATCACAACTACAAGAAGTACTGTTTTTCATGCATAACTAAACATCACTGTAGCTTTCCTATCCTGCACCTGGTACAATGAAACCAAGATCTTCCCTCAAACTGCATGCAGAGATTCATGCAAGGATTCTCTAGGACCTGGGAGGGAATTGCCTTACTAGCCTGTTTACTGATAGCAGCCATGATTTTGAAATTTTTCCTTTGACTGCAGACTGAAACAGAAGAGCTGCTCCTGCAGGACTTTATTAAAACAGATTTGGGTTCTTAGTGATCACTCCTACCAAATTCTAATCTTAGTCTGGAACTCTCCAGAGTTCCCTCAGTATACACAGTGTACAGCTCTCTAATTAACTATTTCAACACTACAAAAAAAAACCTCTGAAAATTCAGGATATATTAGGGTTTTTTACTACAGCTAGTATAACCTCCTTTAAGAAGAAGAGAAATTAAAAGAACTGCACTGGAATGTCAGACAGGAGTTTAAAAGCACTAATTGGTCAATCACATCTGAATTGCACTTGAAAAAATTTCAGATAAAACCCATATTCATAACAAAGCAAAGCCATAATGTTGAACACTAGCTATGAAACTTATTAATTTAATCATAGAATAGCTGAGATTAGAAGGTATCTCCAGAGATTATCTAGTCCAACTCCACCACTCAAAACATGGTCACTTAGTCTTAAGAAAAAAACAGATATACATTTCTACTAATCAAAACCAAAGAGGTTCAATCAGGCATATGAAAGTGTAACCAGTAAACTGACATCTTCTCATGGTCCATCTGATTTTTGTTAGTTAAGAGAAAGCTCTGCAGTGACCCTCTAGCTGACTGAATGTAAAAAAGAAGAGTATGAAACGTGTTTTGTGAAGCAGAACTTTATGTCAGGTTAAAGCTAGACACATCTCTTCCACACAGTCTAAGCTCATCAATTGTGCACCTAAAATTTTATGGGAAAGGATACTGTTTGATGCAGTCCACCAGTGGTCCATAACAACAGTCATTCACAGTACACTGCAGACAAATAAGAGAAGTAGTATACTGATGGGCAACTACAAACCCATTATAGTTAAAGAGTATCTTAAAAACAGTAATTACTTTTCCTCAAAAAGGCTATCAGATGCTGTTCAGATTTAATCACAGAAAACAAAAACTGCATGCTTTTATTCACTATAAAGGCAAGCTATTAAAAAGTGAAATGCTCCCCTCACAAATATTGCACTGCCATTTATAGTGCACTCTGACCTCACTGATAGTTTATGATGACAGTAATTAAATGAGGTTTAAAATCTTTTACTCTTCTAGGCAGATAACAGAATTGCCACAGGAAAAAACCCCAAACCAAACAAAACAAGTGTGATTAATACCTGATAGACTTGATTTGCTAGCACTCCATCTGGAATCTGAGAAGGGTCCCGTAGCATACTATTTATAAGAGTTTTGGAGG